CTGGTGTACAAAAAAAATTCTTTTGATCCAATTTGGAATTAACAAAGTTTCTGATACAACACAATACTTTAAAAAAAAAAAAAAAAAAAACACAGAGAGAGTAAACTTGGGAGGTGTTTGCGAAATGATGTAATTATTTTCCCCGGTGCTGTTTTCTCACTGTTTTGGGTAGGCAGCGATTTTTTAACGCCGAATTATTCAAGCCCTTTTCCGCGCGGGGGTCAGGCGCGGACAGGCAGCGAACACGAACCATGACTTCGAACAGCACTTTCCTTCAGCTGTTCATTTTTGAAAGGAGAGAGGCCAAGTGCATACACCAGTTCTACCTGATATCCTGGAGCGGTCTGCCTTTCTTGCATGGGTTTTAAGATTGAGTATACATCGTCGTCTTCCTCCTCGCACGCAGAGACGGTGGCACGTGTGCAGGACTTAGACTAACGACCCGCTTCCTGGCTCCCCTAGCGCGGCTGAGGGATTTGTTGTGCTCGCTGCGGACGACACCCGACATGAGCTTTGCTGCCAAACTCACCTTTAGGAAAAGCCTAGTTTGCGATCCCTGGCTTTTATACATACTTCTTGCTGATAATTGCGGGGGAAAGCTAGTGCTGAACTGCAGTCAGTAACGCCTGCTTTTTCTGACTCATTCCAATGTGATTTAAAAAAAAAAAACAAACAACAAATATCCTCTGGTTTGAGTCATGTTAGCAAGGCCGAGTCACCCAAGACTGCATTTCATCACCTACTGGGGCCCTGGCTTTCATACCATCCATACCCTTTTATCTGCCCTTCCTGGGAAGGATCCGCACTAGCCCTCTCTGTTCTTAACAGCGGCAGCCCCTGCTGTGGATGTAGCTGAAGTAGCAGCGTAAATAACATTGCTTAGCGCTGCTCTAGAGAGGGTCTCCTCTGCTGGTATAGAGCGGGGTCCCTGAAGGCCCAAATCGCTGCTGTACTTGTAAGCACGGTGCTTTAAAACATTGCCAAACCAGAACGATGGCTGGCGTGTTTGCTGCTTGGTTGAGTACGGACTATTGCAGCGGGGCCGAGCAGCCCTGCTGACCCCGACAGTACCGGAGGGTAAACGGATCAGACAGCTGGACTGCGAGACTCAGACTAGAGCTCAGCTATTGGCCTTGGCATATTCTTATGCATATTTATCTGTAGCTGCTCTGTAAGGCACTGTGTATAGATAGTTCAGAAGTGCAGTTTGACTGCACAGCAAAAAATCCCTGCTTTCCAGATCCTCTCTATTTAGGCTTGCCCAACTAGAGTGACTTTTTAAAGTCTAAATAGCAAAACATGGAGGAACATCTTAAGCTCCCGTAAGTTCTGCTCCTCATATGTAAGCACGTATTTTGTGATTATGAAAGAATTGCCAAAGCCTGACTTCTGTAAGCTATTCTAATGGTTGCATTTTGAAACGTGGACTATGCACGTGGACCCTGCACAGTATGTGACTGCATCTGAAAGTGCCTCAAACAGCATTACTCATTAGCCTGATTTAATCGGGGGGATCTGATGCAGGCTGATGCTCTGGGGAGTTGCACCTTTCTGGTCCCCACAATAGATCTTTCCCTGTCAGTATCCTGGCTTTGGCCAACCTGACGGGTAATCCGAGCCCAGGCAGTTCTCATAATCGTCTTCTCCCACCCCTTATTCTCTCAAAAAAAAATCCTAATTTTTAAGTATAGCTTGAGATCCCACAGTCATATCAGATGTGCCGTCTGTTAATAAATAGTCAGTGGCTGCGTGGCTCAAAGCACTACAACACTAAGAGAATAGCACTGTTGCCTCTAAAAAGCCCATTCTGCTTAAGTTCCCTTGTAGAGGGAAAGGGAGCATCTTACTCTTGTGCAAGCAGCCTTCCGATAACAAGCTGCTGCAATATCTCTCTAGGATACGTGTACTTTTTGCCTACCAGGGAAGGGCCTTGCGGAGGCCCGGACAACACTCCAGCATTGCTGAATACAAGCGGTGCTTGCAGCAAGCCGATGCTGAAAAGACACAATCTGTCCCCTTTGCATGCTATAACTTGTGCCTAAGAGCTATAATTCAGCTGCTTGAAAGCTGCCAGTGGGTTCGAGGAGGGCTGCTGCGCTTGCTTCTCATTCCATGGAAAAGTAACAATTTGGTTTTACATTTTCAGATCTTACCTCCACTTTCAAAATGGAACTTGACATCCAGTGCGAGGAGATGAACCCATCTAGATGGGCTGAACTTCTTTCCACCATGAAATCCTGCAAAACCATCAGGTAGTAACTAGCTGCATGTAGTCTCTTCTAAGCAATACTTCAGTTGTTTTTCTCCTGTGAGAAGAGATAAAAGACAGAATACATTTTAGTAGCAAGACTCGGTATTGTTGAACTGTGACTTAGAATTTCCTTGGTAGCAGGGACAATACCACCTATTTTTTTCCAGAAAGTGAATTTAAAAAAAGAAAAAACACAAACTTTCAAGGTTTTTTCCTACGGAGATAAGCATCCTTGGGCATGAACTAACGATGCTGTTATGGTATAGCCTACCCACCCAGCTAGGTCTTCATTGGTTATCTAAATATTTGACCACCGTTTTGGTACTTCTGTCCTTGTCTGCAGTTAAGATCCCTCAAGAGAGGAACACACTCTCTGGGCTGCAGGTCAGATGTGGCCAACTGACTGTTATTTAAAACTTGTGCACAAGCCACATACACAAGCCCTCATCTTTTAATTCCCCTCTCAGCCTTACAAAAGTACCTGCCTTGTGTGTTGAGCAAGCCAGCGTGAGGGAACCGTATCCCGGAGTGCAAGCTGTAGGGCGGGGTAGGACTGGAGGGGAGGGTCGGTTTAGCACTCTTCCCCAATGTCCGGCTGGGAATTCACACCCTATGGTCTCCCATCCTCCTGCTTGGGCTGGAGAAGACAGGCCACACCAAGCCAGCGATGACTTGGAGGAGGTCAGGCGTGTTGCAGGTTTCTTATTTTTGTTTTGCAAAGGAGCCTTCTGCAGGCAAAATTCATGGGCCTCACCTTGACCTCCCAAGGTCTGCCTTGGGTACCAGAAGGCAGTGTGCCCACAACCGGGATGGCTGTTCCCTGAGCAGAGGCTGGGCTGCTCTAGACATAGCGGATGAGAGCAGCTACAGCAGGGTTTGTTCCACCTAATGTTGAAAGGTGTTAAACACAATCGTATTGTTGCTGGAAGGAGGGAAGGAGAAGCCTTCTCAGGAGGGAGAAGCCTACGAAATCCTCAGTTTTCATCCTGGTGTCTGAGGAGAAATGACCTGGCACAGACTACTTCTGGCAGTCCTGGCTGTGACTGTGCCTGAGGCTGGCAGGTTCCGCAGGACATCTTCCTTCTCCTTGTGTCTTCTCTGCCTCACTGTATGTACCCTTCCCTGCCTCTCCTGCCCTGTCCCTGGCTTCCACTCCTTTCCTTAACTCTCCTTCCAATTTGACGTCTTCCCTCTGCCCCCCTCGCAATTTAGCAGCACCTAAAAAAATCCTGACTAGGAGTATGAGAAGCCCCTATCACACTGCAAATCTGCCGCATATTGAAAGTTATACTAGAGAGAGGCCACGAAGGCCACGTGACTCACTTGTATGAGAACCAATTGCCAGTGGGTGTCTCTGGCATTGGGAAGCCTGGCTGGAGACCCAGTTTATCTAGTCTTAGCGCATAACCAGTCTGACAGCCTATAAATTGCCCTCTGGGCCTCAGATGGACGTCGCTTCAGACACTGGATAGTTTGTCGCTAGGAAAATCTAAATGAAGATGCATCCTCGGATTAAAGCCCTGCTGGGGGAAAGACTTGAGTCACTTGCCGTCTTCTGCACGGCGCGGTAGAGGTCTGCAGCTGGTGGGATTGCCCTCCAGCGCCTCCTGTACCAGAGCCCTGCAGAGAGAGCCTTTCTTCTGCCTCTTCGGATTAGCGGACTGGGCTGTACGTTGCCCAATAGACCACACACGTACATACAGAGGCGGACTGGGCTGTACGTTGCCCAATAGACATACAGAGGTGTTCCAGGAACTAAGGAGGCATAAATCACCCACTTCACTTTCACGGAGAGTGCTTCAGCTAGAGAGAACGAGCAAACTCGGGACTAACGCACTTCCCCTTTCCTTCTCTTTCAGGCTGGACGACTGCAATCTTTCTAGTAGCAACTGCAAGGATCTCTCCTCTGTCATTAATACGAATCCGTCCCTCACAGAGCTGAAGCTGAACAACAATGAGCTGGGAGATGCAGGCGTGGAATACCTGTGTAAAGGGTTGCTGATGCCAAGCTGTAACTTGCAGAAATTATGGTAAAACTTCACTGATCGTCTTGCTCTAGTGGTTTTGTTTAATGTGCTTTCAGTGTGCTGCAGGTGAAGTCACAAGGCAAGCCAGTATGTGAGCCTAGTAGCAGAGCCACACAAGCGTATGTCAGCAATAACCTAGGTCAGATGATCAGAAAACCCCAGAAGCTTTTATGTAGCCAGTGTATTTACTGGAAGACTCCAATATCTGCTTTTTGTCCTCTAGCACGAAGAGGAGGAGAGGTAGGGTTTTCCCAGCCAAGCTAAGAGTTCCTCAAGACTTTCTTTAGAGGAGGTAGCTAATCTTGCCCAGCCACAGACAGTTGGATTAACTCTCTAGGCCTGTTTAAACAAGAGGAAGACCACAGAAGGCCCCACTCGGCCATGAGCACATACCTGACGTTTTCACAAATCTCTCTTCCCCCACTGCCCAGTGCATTTTCCAGAAATCTCTTCTGCCAGTTACTAGCACAAGGTTTAGTGGTCTAGCTGTTCGCTTACTCCTTTCTCTAGCGGCCAAGCAAAGGGGTTTTCTCGTGAGCTCTTAGCATTTCAAGAGCTGTCAGTCTTTCTGCAGACTACCAGAGTTGCTCTGCTGCAACTCTTCTCAGTTGGGCAGCAGTCAGATCTGAGATTTGGCTCAGGCCAGCACTTTTTGCAGAGGCACCAAAGCCAGATTACAGCACTCGAGGTAGCTCCCCACGGGCTTCCCTCAGCAAGCCCAGCCATGCCTGCCAGAGCTTTAGTCAGGGCCAGTGGTTGCTACCTCTGCTCTTCAGAGACCCTCAAGGAGATGCTGCCTCCTCTGTCTAGAATCTCTTCTGCAGGATGGAGTCCTCTAACCCCTGAGGTGGGTCTAGTCTTCTCATGACACTGCCTCATAAAAGTCAAACTGCATCTCTGAGATAAGCCTTCAAGAAATAGCTGATAAGCGGTACTACAAGAGTAACACAAGTCATTTTTCGCAGAGCTTGTCCTAAGGCCCAAACTTCTCCAGCGCCTCAAGTAACATTTAGAGCTCGCTCTCTCCTGAGTTAGGCTGTTTCATTTCTATAGGAACACATTCATGTTTGTCCGTTTTGGGGCTCCGGTAAGGTGTCTTAGGAAAAAAAGCAATCAAAACCAAGCCACATTTACTGCCACCACGCACAACACTTCTCCGTTACAAGAAGTCATGTCTGTTAACTCTAAACACCTCATAGCAATACTATCACGCTTCCTACGCAACTTCTCTCAGCCAGAGCACTGAAGGATCACCTGCTTCATAGATCTCTCCTGCAATATACCACAAAGCTTCTACAAGACATCCAGGGATTTAAGCCAGTTTGACCTAGTTTTTTACTTTTAGCTGCTCTGGATCACCTCTCTAGGGGGCCAAGAAATTGTAAAATGCCCTTGCTTTCTCTCTGAGATAAGCCTCACATTGATTAAAACACTGCTATAAAGCAGTTGTGTTGCTATTTAATGTAGGGAGGATCCTTCTCCTAGAGATGCTATATGAGCAATTAATCTTAAAGAAATACAGGAGCCACTTTTAGTGCTACAGGAATGACATTAGCTCATGAAATATTTTGGGACACCTGTAAAGTAAGAGTACTTACCTGGAAATACTGCTCTGCAGAGGGCTAAGAACAAGCTACTGTTGGTACCACAGTGTCTTTCCAAAGCCAAACCTCAGCAGATGCACAACTTTGAGAAGAGCCTCCGCGAATTCTGGGGATGCAATTCTCTCACCCATGTTCCTTCTCTCCTGCAGGCTGCAAAACTGCAATCTAACGAGTGCCAGCTGCGAGACTCTCCGCTCTGTCCTCAGTGCGCAGCCCTCGCTGACAGAGCTGCACGTGGGTGATAACAGACTTGGAACCGCTGGCGTAAAGGTTTTGTGTCAAGGGCTCATGAACCCCAACTGCAAGCTACAGACGTTGCAGTAAGTAGTTGCTGGTTGTCTTGGTGCTTTCCTGGAAAATGCTTTTCTTCAGTCATTGGACAGCTCACGCTTCTCTCTTCTCGTCTCGACCTTGAGACAAGCAGGAGTGCGGCTGCCAGAAGTGGACTTCTTCCTGTTTTATCTGAATGCGGGTCGTACTTATTCATGTTAGTGGGCCCAGAGGATTGGTAAGAGCTCAGCCTCTGTTCCTGTAGGCCTTACTTAGCCCACCTGGCAACAGCAACTGTTAATGCAAGACCTCCCAGACTCCAAGGAGAAGTGTGATTCTGCTGCGCTTGGTGCTTGTTTTATGGCTGAGCTGGACCTGAGTCTACCAACGGTCTCCAACTAGCAAAGTACAGCTCCTGTCGAGAAGGCCCAGTAGTGAGGGTTGTGCCTTGTGTTGCAATTCAAGACTCATTCATAGGTTCTAAGAAAACCTCTGCGTTGCTTTAGAGAAGGACCAGCGTAAAAGTGGAGTAAGCGATTAGTCTTGCATGGGTCCCCTGAGGTCCAGTTTAAGAAATCCTGCCCTCTGAAATGAACAGGGAGATGCTGTTAAGAACTAGTGGCTAAAGTCTGCTTACGGTTATCTTTATTTTCATGTATTGTCTGGTCTCAATTCATAGGCCCAAATGGCATGTTTGCTGCCCTGGCTAACGCACGCTTTGCGTAGTTCATGTCATGCAAGTAGCAGGATATAGTAGATGGTTGTTTTTTCCCTGGACTTCCTTTCTCCTTGCAGGCTGGAATATTGCGAACTCACAGCTGATATCGTGGAAGCTCTCAATGCTGCTCTGCAAACCAAGCCCACCCTGAAGGAGCTCAGCCTAAGTAACAACACACTGGGAGATACAGCTGTAAAGCAGCTGTGCCGGGGACTGGTGGAGGCAAGATGCGACTTAGAGCTACTACAGTAAGGAAGAGCTAGTCATCTCTAACTGCAGCTAATCCTGCTGCTATTCCTGCCATGCATAAAACAGGAACATTTGATGTCAGGGATGCTTTAAAATTTAGGATGGCTTTTAGCTGGCTCAGACTTCTGGGGCTTTGAGGATTTTTAAGCATGTGATTTTGAGTTCACTCTTACGTCTGCTGATACAGTGTGAGCATGTGCCCCAGGTTAAAGTTGCAATTACAAGGAGTGATGACTCACTAGGATCTGAGAGCAGAGGAGTGCTCGCAGGCAGCGGCTCTAGCTCTTATGCCCTGAGTTGCCAGCCAGTTGGGTATTTTTATTCAGATCCATATTTGTCTTCAAAACAAGAGGCTGGTCTTCACCGCTTGGTTGGGGTAAAGCCTCTGGAAGGGCTTAGGGCAGAAACACGATTCAGCTTATCTTGCCCACATACTGCAGCTTCAGCCCAGCCTGGCCGGAGGAGCACAGACTGCAGAGCCTGCCTTGCATATCTCTGTGGAGCCGGGTCCAGCTGCGTGGAGGCTCCAGGGCTCTGCAGCAGCCACTGGTCCCTTCATTCCTCAAGTGCCAGTTTGGCTTGTGGCTGCCAGGGACTCACTAAGTGATCCATCCAAGAGTTCCTCTTAAAAAGGACAGTCAATATAAAAGCAGAGTTGAAAAAGCAATCCTTGCATGAATGTATATGAATAATAGGTTGGATTTAAAGCACACTACAGCCTCATGGACTACAGGAGAGGTATACTGCCTCAGAGCCCTGCTGGGATATCTGACTCATCTCTTAGCCTTGCAGAGCTCTAGCAACGTCCAGCTGAGCGGCACTGGTTTGCAGCAAGAAACCATCCCATAGCCCTTTCTCAGTCTGAACTCGGGGTGGTGGACTGCGACCAATACTGCATGTCCAGAGACACAACTCAAACTATGCTTATTTCTGCAGCCTGGAGAACTGTGGAATAACCAGCGACAGTTGTCGGGATATTAGCGCTGTCCTCAGTAACAAGTCATCCCTGATAGATCTGTCCGTGGGGGATAACAAGATCGGGGACTCTGGTCTGGCTCTGCTGTGTCAAGGACTGCTGCATCCCAACTGTAAAATTCAGAAGCTATGGTAAGGGAAGGCAGAGTTTAAAATCTTAACGTTTAAATCCCTCTGAGCTATCCACGTTATATTGCTGGTCTGTTCCTAACTGGTAAGCAAGTTTCTCAGTTACAGCCCCTAGTGAAACAGGGATATCTCTACCCCAGATAAGTTACCGCTCAGAACAAAAGCGGAGGACGCTATGCCTTTCCATATGAGCCGGCTGGACAGCACTGAAACCACTTGGATCAAATTCTGGGGAGAGGGTGGATGAAAGTTTGATGGCAATGCCCTGTATTCCTGTTGAGGTATCCAGAGTTGCATGTTTGTATTCTGTGTGCTAAAAACAGAACTTCCAGGGTGAAGGATGGAAAGTAAGGAGAAAGCCAGAGAAAACTCCGTGCTGTGATACGTGAGTGGGTTTCTTAAAGCGTAGAAGAACAAACTGAGATGCTAAAACCAGAACTTGAGAACACTAAAAGAGGACTCTGTTTTCTGATATAAGTAATTATTGGGGGAAAATAATATTTTGTTTTTCCCTGCAGGTTATGGGACTGTGATCTCACAAGTGCTGGCTGTAAAGATCTCTCCAGAGTCATCAGTACAAAAGAGACTCTCATAGAGATAAGTCTGATAGACAACAACCTGAGAGACTCAGGCATGGAAATGCTGTGTCAGGCACTCAAGGATCCCAAAGCTGAACTCCAGGAGCTATGGTGAGCTGCTATGAGGTTTCACATCTCCACTGCCCTCTTTTGAGACCTTGCCAAAGAAAGATAAAGTTGAAGTAAGGCCCACCAAGTAAATCCTCAGTTGTGAGGATCCCACAGACAGCTCATGCAGATTGTTACCTAAAAGATGTACAGATCTTAAGGGGATTTGTATTTCTGAACTCCAAGATGCTTTGAAAATCCGCCCCAGAGTCATCTTGCTATAAGCAATAGGGAACCAAACATCACTTTAAAAGCTTTCATCTAATATATTTTGTTGTGCCACAACAAGCAACTTAGAGATTCTGTGCAAGACATTTAAAAGGTGTCATGCAATAGCAAAGTGAATACTGTGATCAGATATCTCAGGTTCTTTCCTGGAATCCAAGCTCTCCCATTGATATGCCAAAACTGGAAAGCTTGTGTTTCAAGTACTGTATCTTGAGGTACAGGTTTTCCTTCTGAAAGAGAAAGGAAGGAAACTCCTTCAATGAAAAGCTGTAACCCTAAGCAAAAAAGCAGTCTCTTTGGCAGTTAATTAAATGTACAATTGCTGCTTCTCAGAAGGACTGAAAAAAGTCAGCACTGAAACCTGTGGTGCCCACTTCACGGTCTAAATCTAACCAAAGATGACTCCAGCAACATAAATCTTTCTCAGCAGCCTCTCTACTGACAGTGTTACCTTTTAGATTGCGATGGTCTGGTATAACACGGTCTGGAGAGAACTGTCCTTTCACGGAGAACTTGGAACAAGTGACAAAAATTTTCCTACATTGCAAGTTCAACTCCCACATCTGGGTTCTTCCCCTGCCTCCAGTAGCTTGGGAATCTGCGAGGTGCCCTGAGGGTGAATGGTGGAGCTAAGGTGACTGCAAGAGCAGCACATTTCATCTCTGACCAAGAGTCTGCTCTTATCCCTTAGGGGCAGCTGTCCTTCCTCGATGCGTTCTCCGAGGCGGGCATCCTAAATGTAAACAGTAGGAGAAGGGATGCTTGGAAAGGACCAGGCTGGACAGAGGGGATGAGAGAAGAATTGTGATTGTGGAAAGGCTTCAGTTTGTTCTCACTGGCTCGGCTCCTGTGAGGCCAACATGAAAAAGTGAGCAGTGGTTGATATTCTCTAGGTCCCTGGAGTTCTCACTTTATTCTTGCCTTACAGGATTAGAGAGTGTGGGCTCACGACTGCTTGCTGTAAGGCAGTCAGCTCTGCTCTCAGCGTGAACAAACACCTGAAAGTACTGCATATCGGCGAGAACAAGCTGGGGGATGCAGGCGTCGAACTCATGCGTGAAGGGCTGCTGCACCCGAATTGCAACATCCAGTCCCTATGGTAAGGTGCACCCTCAGAGGGCTTCTCATCTATTGATGTGTTGCCCTTCCAAGAACAACAGGCAGAGAAGGATAGCGATAGGCGGTAGCATAGGTTGTTTTTTTTTTTTTTCTCTCCATACAAGAGACAATTCATGCCACAAATTAACGTTTACCCAGACCAATCCCATCTAGAAGCCACAACTGCCTGATACAACTGCATAGGCTGTCAGTCATGCTCCCTTGCAGGTACAGCCTGTCACCAGTGCAGTGGTGATTGAGAGCCTTCCAGAGGCTCTCTCCTGGGGCAGAGCTGGAAGTTCATAGTGCAGCATACCTTCAGGATCTAAAGTAAAGTGCAGGCAGGCTGGAAGGAGCTTGCTTTGGGAAAGCCTGTTCTGCAAACAGCTTACTGAAGAGTTTTCTGCATCCTTCTCTGAACTTGCTCAGGGAGCCTCTTTCAGACGACATACTGAAAGAGAGAAAGCAGTAGTCCTGCTCTAACACATTAATTCCTGTCAGAAGCCTAGAGCTGCACTCCAGTGCTCTAGTGCAATCAGTAAGTTGAATGGATGGGTCCAGGGAGACATAGGTAAGACTTGACGCCTCTGCCCAGAAGGATATTTTTTGCTGACCAACTAAAGCCACTTGTTCTTAACCGAGAGGCCTCAGTTGCCTTGTTCATAGAAATGGTTTGCATAAATTGGTGTACATGTCCATCTCAAGAGTAATAAACTTCAAATTACTTTATAACTATACCATAAGTACCATCAGAAACAATAGTCCACCGTTTCCCCAGTCACTGCTTCGCTCCCTCTCTTGCTTTAAACAGCTTGAGGGAATCCGTCGCTACTAATGTTTAGTCTCCTCCACCTCATCCTTCTGCCATAGCAGTGTATATAGGAATATAGGATAGTGGGTTTTCATGCCCCGAATTAGGGAAAGATGTGCCATTCCCTTAGATTAGGGCGCTCCGAGTTAAACAAGACTGTTTAAAAATAAGCCCTTTCTTCCCCTTTCCTCCTGTTCCATTTGCCCACTCTATCCTTACTGCTCAGGTGCTGGGCTGCTACATGGTAACGCTGGGGCATTTAGTCATTCTGCTCTTCCCTTCCCTCCACCATGTTCTCTCCTCCTTACGTTCTCTTAAACGCATCTCTTGCGGACTCCAATTAGTGCACTCTATATTCGAGGCCTCTGGCTTTTCTCTCTTACATAGCCTTCTGAAGACACAGTGGCAAAATACGTGTTGTATTATGAGAAATATTAGATACTGTCAACTTGCTAGATTCATTGCATTATCTTCACAAGCATGATGTTGAAATTGGGACTATCATCTTAGGCTTCCTTCTCCCCCAGGCAGCCACGCGCTGTTTAGCTTTAGGGAAGACGTCCTCAGGTGTCCATCGGTCACCAAGACTGCCGTCTTCAAAGCATATCCTCCATGTGAAAACCACACACTAGCCCCTGCAGAAGTCTCCCAGATAACAGCCTAATGAGACTCCCTGGTCTGCACCAGGGATATTCCTGCCCGTTGCCCGAGTTTGGGCTGCTCGGCTAAGAGCCGGCACTCACTGCGTTGGCCTCTCTTCCCCTGCAGGCTGGGTAACTGTGATCTCACAGCGGCCTGCTGCCCGACTCTCGCCACGATCATGGTTGCCAAACAGTGCCTTACTGAGCTGGACCTGAGCTACAACACTCTGGAAGATGAAGGCATGAGGAAGATTTGCGAAGCCCTGAGGAATCCAAACTGCAAGTTGCAGCAGTTAATGTGAGTGACATTGCTGGTTTTGCTTACGTTCCCTCTGGCAGGCAGCAAGCTCCGGGGAGATAAGGGATGGGCAGCAAGCAGGGACTGCTCTGGGGAGGGCCTCCAAAAGGCAGCTGGTCACCCCGGAGAGAATCAAACACTGTTTGCATGTTACAGAAACTCCCTGTCCCTTCCAAGGGACATGACTTAGTGGCTCAATCCGCCTAAGTGTCTGGGGCCCAACAAGCATGCAGTGGTGATGGCTGGGGAGAGATAACACGGGCATGTTATTGGCTGCTGGACCGGACGATGCAGTCTAGCTGGGGCCCTTCCTGTTAGGTGATCTTTCCCGAAGGTGATTTGTGTGCCTTTTTGCCTTCTCTTTCCTTAACAGCCAAGATGCTCACTAAACCATCTTGCCTTTTTGTTTTGGTTTAGTTTGTATGACATTTTTTGGAGTTCTGAAATGGATGATGAACTAAGAGCCCTAGAAGAATCCAAACCTGAACTGAAGATCATTTCATGAGTGCTGCAGAGCCAAGTCAAAGCAACATCCTCTTAATCTGACCTTTTCATATATCAGGCTAATTAACTTAATATAGAATGTGCTTTTACCAAAAAACATTCATAGGGTCCCTGAGTGGCTGTCCAAGGGAGTTGATAAGCCTTCTGTGCATCACTGCATGTACTTAAACCTGAGGCTTAATAAAGCTTTGTAAGTTTTCACTGCAGCATTGCTATCCTCAAACTAAACACTTACTGGGCATCTGCTAGAAGTGGGTCTCTACCCCTTTAGGAGCTCTTTAATCCTAAAATCCCTCCTAATGTATTAGTCACCCTTTAAAGGGAGATAAGGCCAGAGGAGAACTGCCCCCTCTATTATTACTGGGTGGTGCTTTTGCCAGGCCTCTGGGGAAAGCTCTCCAAAACCAACACAAACATGTTTTTTAACCCCAGATTGAGCTCTCCTCTGCTTTCCCTAAAAGACTTTTTGGAAAAGCAGTGGTGGCCAGAGCACTGGAGAAGAAAGTGGTGAGTGGCTGTTCAGCTGCTTTACTTCAAGAATTAGCTTCCCTTGAAAAATGATTTTCCTACAAACAAAAGATGCTGTGCGTTTCTGTTAGTACTGGAAATGATTAAGTAGTTTGATACGTTTGCTCTGGTAAGAATGGTTCTACGGAACGTATTAAAATCTGTTTGCAAAAAATTAAATGCTTCATTTTTCTACTTATAAGAAGATAAATAAGGGAAGAACCCTACAGATATGACCCATGGCTTGAATCTATTCTTTTTTTTTAAAACCTGAAGACCAATCAATACTGGTAACACCTTGCTTCACAGGTTTCCTCTCAGTATGTTCCTGGCTGAAGTGTATGTCAGGAGAAGATCTTAGTCACGGCCTTGTGTAAAGCAAAGACTTCAGTCTTTAGGAAGACTGCAAGCCTAGAAAACGTTCCTCTGGTTTAGAAGGCTACTGACTAGGTTTATTTGTCCAATCAGAATTTTAATAAAAACCCTGTCCTGAGGGAAAACGAGCTGATGCATGCCTAAAACAGTAGAATTAAAGAACATAGCTTAAAAAAAATGCAGGAGAGAAGTCTGCCCAGTGGTGTCCTGGGCTTAGCCCCAGGGTGACCTTGCAGAAAGAAAGCCCATAGAAATCCTCTCCTCTGACAGGTTATCTCCTCCTAAAACAGTCTCTTGATGCTTTATTCACTTCCAAATCCCACCTGGGCACACACTGCAAAAGTGTCCTCTGGGCTCTGGCTTGTGATGCTCTCACATTCAGCCTGTAGAGGCTGTAACTGGCTTTCCTCAGGCTTGAGGAAAGCATCCATCTGAGCACAGTCCCTCCAGTGCCCAAAAACTAGCTTTCCTGTATCTTCAGGCAGGTGCCAGTGACAAGAGCCGTTCTTTCCTCACCACAAGAGGCACACAGTTCTCTCTTGATGCTGCCCAAAATGCTAAAAAGCACACATTTTTACTTTAAGAGCTGCTTAGCCTTCTCTCTCTATCAAGGACAGAAGCAGACATTGTGTTTAGAAAACTGCTCATCCTGAGGGACTTTTAAACAGGCTTTTCGTATTCATGGTCTTACATGCTGAAACCCGGTACACACAGGCTCATTTCAAGCTCAAGAGGAAAGAGCTAGGATAGGCCTGAGGTGGTAGGGCAGGAGAAGTCAGCACACAGTTGGGGAAAGCAATAAGAATATCAGGCATCAGGCTAGGCTTAAGGCATCTCTCCAAACAAAAAAGCAAACGTTAGGCGCTTAGAAGTGCATTTTTTGAGGGCATCTGATACAGCAGATGCTAGAGGAGGCCCGAGATAACTTTATAGTACTAAAGACTTAGCTTCTAAGTCCTGGGCCGATTGCAAAACAGGTCAGTGTTAGATAGGCTGACCATGAATCAGCTTGTGAGCAAACATCACCTTGATCCTAGCTTAAACCAGCAGATTCAGCTAAGGACTTCATCACCCGAAGTTAAAGTCGGGGCCAACTAGCGCTGGCGTACCTGCAAAGCACATTCTCTACAGCTTCCCGAAGCTGCTCCCTAGCCGTGGGGTGGCACCCTTTCCCCTTGCCTGGGCCAGCACGCCTCCAGCAGCCAGGCCACTGCTGCTGGGCCTGTTACGCTGCCCGTTCTTCCTCCCGCCCCGGACACAGGAGCGCTGAACCGGGCCTGCTTCCGCAGCCTTCCCGCAGGCAGGGGTGTGAGGCCTCCAATGGCAGCACGCTCCGAATCTGGGATAAACCCCATTGCCGCTTCAGTTCCCTGCAGCGTTTTGCATTTTCTGTAAAAATGCAAAGAGAGGGGGTTGCATTTTTCATGCCAGCAGCAGAAAGGTGCTGCTTGCGTAGCATATGCCATTTGTGCAGTTACCAGTTCCAGCACTAAAAAAAAGACACAGGAGTCATATTCTGAAGTTTCAATGGATTCAGAGCACCTCAGTCCAGCCCAGCCTGGCAGACCTCTGCAGGGATACTCAGGGTGAGAGGGAACCTAGCGCTGTGATTTCTGACAAACATGAAGTTTTATGCTTGGATCTACGGAGCAGAAGACAGATATAAACCTTGGAATCTAGAAACAAGTCACTGTAGCGAGAGACACTGCTCATTAATGCGACCTAAGCAAGGGTTTGCATTCCTAAAAGCTCGTTTATTTTTCTAACTCTATCAGTTGTTCTAACTCACTTCTCCTACAAGCCTTGTCCCAGCTGTGGCCTCAGGGGAGTTGAAAGACAGAAATCTGTTCCTACGTTTTTGAAGTAGGAATCTTCAGTGTTTTAAGCTAAAAGGACTAGGCAGTAATTAGTCACGAGCTTTTTATGTGGTCTAGCTACAAGACTGGCAGTCAAAGCCTTACTCATAGTGAGTTCACAGAGTGCTCGGCACATCCCGGGATGGTGCAGTCGTGTTCTGGTTCAGGGCAAGCGGTTGCACCTTGGACCCCTTGTACTGGGAAACCCTTTGTACTGGGAATTTCTGCTAGCAGGGGTTGGGTTTTGCCTAGTCTAATGAGGGTTAAAGATCAAATTACGTAGCCAAAATAAAAGATTAAGAAATCTGGGTCTTTGTATTTGGGATCTCAGTAACAGCAACAGATGTTTAGAGTGTGTTAAAGTGTCAGGTTTCTGCTAATAGTTCAGGATCCTGCAATATACTTAATTTCTCACTCATCACGGGGCACGGTGTCAAGCAGGGAGGCCACAGCGTTCCAGGTACGTTGCCAGCAGGGGTTAAGCAAACGTTACTGGCCTCCCAAACAGGCTATACCCCAACTAACTGCTGCTCATCCTGGAAGCACATCGTTTCACTGTTGCCCCGGCATCTCCCCCGGCTCCCTTGCTGCGTGGGCTTTTTAGGAGGGAGACCCAATGCGGCGAAGCTCCAAATACCAACTCTAAATAACAGAGATGCTAGCAGCAGCGCTCCCCAGACAGCATCACTGGCCTCCTATACCAGGCTCGGCTGAGAGCAAAGCAGCAAGCTCGACGCTGCCCAGTTTCAGCTGAACCCAAAAAGGGGAATTTCGCCAAATCGTGTTTGAAGAGTTAACCACAGCTCCCCACGCCTTTCTTTTGAAAGCAGCGGTTGTCATCTGAGTCACTCCCAATCCTCCATTAAAATATTCCAAAAGGATGCTACTTCTTCCCCAGATTCCTTTTTTGCACAAAAAAAAAATTTGTATTATTATTTACAACACTAGGCAAAAGTCTCCTCCTCTTTGGGGGCTCAGTTCTCCAATCCCCCCTTCTTCCCCATCACCTCTTTTCATTACATCTCTTTTACCAACGGTGAAAACATACACTAACGAGGGTGGGGAGGGAACCACTAAGGGGAAAAGTTCTGGGAAAATCCCCCTCCCAATAAGGCCAGAACAGACACTTCTGACCTTCTTTACCCATTCTTCTGGTCACGGCTGCCAATGAGCCATGCAAAGCTGGTGTTTCTCCTCCTGTGACGCAGTCAGTATCCCAGCCCTCCCCTTTCTCACTTCTCCCACTCATTTGGCATGAAACATCCATCTCTCCCGCTGCAGCCCGCCTTCGCGGAGCTCTTTGCTGCAGATGACACCAAACAGCCTCCCCTTCCTCTGCCTCACCAACTCCTGAGTTAACGTTCAGGTCTTAAGAGAAAACCTTCTCCTATGCCCATGCCTGCTTCTCCCTGATGATGCTCCATAGGAGCTCCATAACCAGCCAAGTTAGGAGAAAATAATGTATTGCAGCCTACCTTGTTCACAATTAAGGGTGGATATTCAGTGGGAGAGGTGAAATGTTGGCTCTTCAACCCCTTACAGATGTCCCAGGACAACACGCACTACCCCGAACCGAGCACCGGGAAGGCCTGGGCACACTGACGTTGGGCTGGCAAACGACAGCCCATAATAAGCACAGAGGGACACCCAGAACCAGGACAACCATTGTTTGCACGTACACTGTGCGAGCCCCTCACAATGTGTCGTCCTCATAGCTGTTTCCCACGGGGCCCGGACCCAAGGGGCTCTGCCAAGCCAGCACTTCCCACCCTCGCTTGTTTCTTTACATGCTACATACTGGTTTTGCCTTGTTTCACGCTTCATCCAGATACCTAGTTCAGACCCTTACTATGCTTTCTAGATGATTAAAGCACCTAGGCTTCAGGGTACAGAAATACTCCCTAGGCCTGGTTGTTATTGTCTCCAAAGAATTGCTTGCCTGCCTGCCGTGACTTACAGGTGGAGCTTAGCTAATTGATCTCCTCCTAGCTGGGTTAGATCCATCAGCTCATCTCTTGCAGTAACCATTACCCAAGCAGCAAGGCTGCCCTTGGGGATAATTAGAATATAAAGCACCTTAAACTTGAGCATTTACATTAGAATAGAAGAACATTTATATCAGAATACATTTTAAGAGTTTTCTTGTCGGCACCACCCACAGAGAAGGGAGAAGGCTGCCCTCGTCATCCCTTACACCAGCGGGGAGCTGCTGCTTACTGCGCAGCAGACTTCCAGGGGACCTATTCCCCTTCGTGTGCCAAGCATGCAAAGCAAAATTAGACATGCTACGAGCATGGAAGCTAGGATGCAGCCACATCTCCTACATTCAGCATAATAGGCAAAACAAAGACAAAAATAAGTGAGCAGGATTGAAGACAATAATCTCAAAGAGATGGGTTAGGAGCAGCTAATGAATGCTCTGGGGAAAGCAAGCTGGCTAGTTTTGCATGACTCGACAGAGAGCAAGCAGGGCCCAGGCTGTCTGGAAGGAAGGAGCAGGACTGATCCAAGCCCTCTCGGGGAAACCACGCGAGTCCAGATGCGATGAGGAATGAGGTACGCACCAGGGAGGAAGGAAAGCACTGTTGAGAACAGTGTCTCATCTCTCTCCACAGTTTTGGCCCTGTAACTTAACACCATCTTCCTCCTGAAGGAGAGATCCCATCCTGCTTCTCAGATGGCTCGCTGCCTCTAAGCATTTAAAGCCGCTTTCAGGGTTTTTGGTTTTATGTTTGGCAGCCCTGGAAAGGTATAGCTGAGAATACAGACCTAGCTCCAGCAGTGCGTGCAGAGGTGGCACAGCTGGGTGCCAGCAGCGAATGGGCCAGCCCCAGCGTCCACAGGACATAAAAGAGATTGCCTATTTATTGCCTTGGGCAGAGGAAGAGGCATTACAACAGCTGCATGCGAAGAGCAGAGGAAAAGCTTGTATTCCCAGCCCGCTCACTTAACTACTGTGCTTTTTGCAGGGTTGCAGAGCTGGGAGGATGTTACAAACCACTATGAACTACCAGTCAGCATTTGCCTGCTTTCACTGAGAGCAGCGCTCCCTTTCAAGGGCCTAGGAGCACAGCCTCTTCTCCCCTTCACGCCCCAGCTAGGGCCTGCTGAGCATCTCCAGGGAACCAAGCATCCCACCATGACCCTCACAGTCAGATTTTCCAAGTTGCCTTGCACATGTGCAACCCCTGAAAAACCTGGGCAACCGCCTACCCACCCACACCACCAGCCATCTGCAGTTTTATCAGCGCTAAGCAACAGCCTCTCCATCACATTGTTCCACGCGTACGCCCTGTTCTGGGCCGGCTCCGTCAATATTAGCTCCTCTCTTGCCGAGCAGGGTAGAAACTCGTTTTTCTAGTACGGCAAACCACTCTTATTGTGCTGGTGCAGCCCACACACGCTCTCAGAGGGCTCACCCAAGGACCTGATTTTGAGCAGCGTCTGAAGGTATGATTTTTAAGTTGCCCGTTGTCGAGTTAGACATCTAGGAGGAACAAGGAACAGGATCCCCTTGGTTTTACGAGGAAATACAACAACACCCCCAGCCTGCGGGTGCCTCCAGGACCCTGGCAGGGTTATTTCTGGTCTAGCAGAGTAACGGACCTCTTTCCAGAGTTACCTGTTGCAGGACTGCAGTGCTTCTGGACTGGGGCTTGGGGAAAAGCAAAGGGTGAGATGACCGAGTTTTTTTTTCCCCTGACAGAGGTGCAAATATACACAGAGAGACTGCAGGGGCTGTTGTAGGCTGTCACTCACAAGACAGAAAACAAAGAACAGCTTGATTTGAATAGTGGGGCACTAGCTGGGATTGGGAGACTCACGTGCAGGTGTTGAGCCTTTCCTGCCCACCTTGCAGGACTGCAGAGAAATCGCTCACCTTCGTGCAGTCCAGCTGACAACTTCAGCAATGCTGGGGCAGCAGCTGTCTTCCACAATGCACTTATACCAGACCTACTGCAAAGGGAAGCTGATTTTAACCGAGGCCTAGGAATGCTGTGCCAAGCACAACAATTGAAGAGATGTTCTACTTCACTGTTTGCTCTTATTTAAACGTCTGCTTTCCTGCCAAGTCTGCTGCTAGAAATCAGTCACAGATTCTTAAAAGTAAGTCCTCTCAGGTGACTGACAGCCAGATAACAAGTTTGTTTGAAAACATGAGCGTCCACCGCCCACACAGAAAGCTCAGCAATGTTAATAACGTCAGGAGGCTTTTCTTAAAGAAAAAAAGTTCAGTGTCTACTTGAGCTATGCACCAGCTGGTGCAGAGAGGAGCCTGAATCTCACCAGGTTGTGTAGGAAGGTGCTAGCCTGTTTCCTCACTGCTGGGCTCTTGTTTTTCCTTTGCTCTGCTCATGCCCTTACCAGAAAGCAGGCAAGACTTCTGCCTTCTGGCTATTTCCAGAGGAGGGTATCAGGGTCTACTTGGCAATGCCAGGGTGTCCTTGGCTCACAGCCGCTCGAAAGTCTCCCCCATCCTGATGAGGGCCCCAGAAAGTCCTTTCCTCAACTGGAAGGAAGGCAGCATTCCCTTCATTGAAGGGGCAGCATCCTCAGTTCAGCTATCTCCCTTTCTAAAGGCAGGGATCCAGTACTTCAATCTCCCTGTTTTGGGTGAGCTGAGCGCACTCACAAGGATCCCAGATACAAAAAGCTGTGGACAGATGTCCGTACCAATGGCTTTTATCTGCTGAATGATCACAGAATCGTTGGGGCCACTTGCATCTGTCAGCAAAATCTGGCTATATTCCTTTTCCTGGCGATTTTGGGGCTCTAAGCCTAGCATTGGAAGCAGACTCTGATTCATAAGCACAAGCGTAAGGACATCCTTACACATGTTCCCCAGCAGATGGGGAGCTGGTATTATAAGGTCTCAGCCTAGGAAGGAGCTTCAGGTACATGGATCTGCATTGCAGAATCAGAGCTAATGGACAGAATAATACATGCAACTGCCTGTTATGCTAAGGGCTCTTTTACCTTCATAGTAAGCTCTTCCTTAGCACTATGCTGCGGAGGAACTCCTCTGGATGCCCTAATACTGCACTTAAGTCCATTTGTAACTCTGAGAATTTTTGTGGCATTAGTCTAGAGACAGCATCTTGTTGCAGATTAGCAGCAAGTTAAGTTGCTTGGCCAGTTTTAAGGGCTCCTCTTAGTGCCTTTTTTTTTTTTTAAAGCAAATTATCAGGACGTCTTTATTTAGATAGAATGTGCAAGGTCTCACCCCCACAAGGATATTTCTGCCAGTCACCTCCCCTTTACTGTTATTGCTTCATCTCCAGAAGTGACTGCTGGTGATATGTTATCCAGTGTCCCCAGCAGTTGCCTGGGATCCAGCACCAAGGGTGCTGTTAATACAGTCAGTGATGAGAAATCACAGGAGAAAACAGCCGGTACGAACAAGAACTTGTTCTGAGGTGAAAGAACCATGTATACTCAGAGCTTTTGTTCAGAAAGTTTGAATAAGCCAGTTATTGCTTTAAAGCTTGTTTTGGGTTGCAGAAACCAGCAGCAATTTATTGGAACAGCTCTCATCCAGAACCGAGCACGGTTTCATGGCCGCTCTTGTTTGCTAGAGGTGGGTAAAATGTTTGCTCCTCTAGAAAGATTAGAGTTTTAATCTCATCTTAAGCAATCAAAAAAGGAAGCAGTTACTATTCCCTACCAGAGCCCTACTGTGAGAGCATCTAAGAGGCGAGGGGAAGGAGCGCTCACACATGAACGTCTCATCCCTTGTCCTTTCCAGCCCTCTGGGCTGGTTTCAGTCCTCTCCCATTTTTGGGAGAGGGGATCCTCTTACAGGATCTTAGTCTAACAAAGACTGGAAGCATCCTTTCCTCCAGTCCTCATTTCAGTTACACAGGCTGAGCAGCGATGAAGGGCTATGCCATGCCACAGTCCAACGGGCCACGTTCACCACTAACTTTCCCTTCTATCTTTCCACGCTCTTGGAACAAAGCGAGACAGACAGAAGCCCAAACTCCACAGCTGCTTCTCCTAGCATTATCAGTGTCCTTCTAGGGAAGGACAAACTCCCCAAGTTCCCCAAGTCCCTTTCTCCAATTGCACACAGAAGCCTTCCCCTGGCTGCCGCTCCCAGAGACCCAACAGGAACTCACACGTGTGCCTGACAGATCGGCACACGGGATCCCCCATCCCGTTTCTCCTTTCTTCTCCTCCTTTTCCCAGTGTCTGCCCTTGCCTGCCTTGGGCCTTCCAGAGCGTCTCTTAAAACTACAGCTCCAAGCATTTTGCTGCCTGGACAGGTCTGCAAATCTAAGCGGCTACTTACTGCGGGCACAGCTGATGCTATGGAAAGCAAGACACCAAAATCTTTATCTGATGAAGCTGCCTGCTGAGCCAACGGTTTCACAACTACTGGCCTGCAGGTTTCCCATCAGCACAGCAAGCAAGACAAACAGGCTAGCCACCTCCCAGACGCCAATGTTGTCACAGCAACCCAGCCAGCTGGGTGCTGATCCCATAATTTCACAAAAAAGGTTTTCCTCTTGGGATCAAACCCAAGAAACCAAATCCAGTGAACCAGAGAGACTCGGCCCTTGACAGTACAATGCTGTGGTTGCTTAGAAGAGCAGTATAAGGGCTCAGCAAAAGGGAACAAGGTCAATCAGAGGTCTGGCACAGCTTCTGCAGAAGGAACAACTGAGTGAGCTAGGACTCCTCAGCGTGAGAGAGGACTGACGGATATGAGAGAGGTCTGTAAATATCAAGAGTATCTAGAGAAGGTGCACAGAGAATGACTGTCTGCTGGGTTTTTCCAGTTCAAGATCTGGAGAACAACAAATTAAACCAGCATGTGAGAACTGAGCTGAACTAAAGGCCATAGTTCTTACGCTGGGTAATAAAGCGGCGAAGCTCCTTGCTACAGGGTGCAGTGGAAGCTAGAATTAGACACAGCTTAAAAAGTCAATTAATGAATTAATGGAGTTAGAGATGCACCTAGGCTTATTAAAGGCAAGTAAGGCCTAAAGTGCATATCACAGGAAGCTGTAGGAACATCGGGGTGCGGAGAAAAAAAAAAAAAAAATCACTGGGCGGTTACCCAGTTTTATGCTTTCCCTGAGCATCTGCTGTCAGGCACTGCCAGAAAGCAATAAGCAGAAGGGCAAGCAACTGTAGGAGGCAGCACTTACAAAGCAGTGCAACGCAGAGGTCAGTGAAGCAGGCTCAAGAAAAGTTTGCCAGGAATTCACAGGCCCATCACGTTTCCTGAAGTCTTTCATCTTAAAAAACACACACGCAAGCTGCTTGTGAATTGCTCTGGACAAAAGCAATGAAACCCAGCAGATCCCTGTCTGGGTGGCAATGGTAAGCACAGAGCCCGTCTGTGATAATGTGGCACTGATGCTGTGAACACAAGCACACGTGAAAAGAAATACTCACAAGTCCAAGAAGGCAACATGACTAATTCTGCACTTTTAGGTCACAGTTTCAGTTTGTATACACCTGCAATGTAGACCTGTCCCTTCCCAGTCTGTACTCTGCTGTGACCGTACAACATGGAAAGGTGATACCAGCAATGCTGATCGCTTCCCCCTGTCTCTTACAGGGGAAGAGGATATGATACAGAAGAACTCCATCGTACTGACTTGTACAGCTTATGGCTGTCTGTTACCAATACCTGGAAGTATGGGATCTCGGCACTAGCTATCCTCTTGCTCTTGGTGGCCCTCACGATCTTAGCTTGCCAGATGTGTCAGCTCCAGAAACACAAGAGTATTAATAAAAGTAAGTATAGGGGCTGCTGCGTGTTATCGCCCAGGGAGCCTGCGTTTCTACCGCCCTTTGCTTACAACAAACACACAGCTCAGAGCAGTCCAGCAAGCTGTGCTCAGATGGCACTTAGGCCTGATGCTTCCGGGCAAGGGAAGTGGGGTCAGCCACGTGCAGTAACAGTCTGTGCGCTTACACAGCTGAGGAGGGAAGAGGAGGGAAGAGGAGGAAGGAGCAAGGATCTCAGCAAGGGACTTCCACCCTGGAGCAGACACAAGAGCAGAGTATAATTGCACTAATACCAATGTCCCCAGTCTGCATGCTTCCAAGTGCAGGCATTTTGGTTACAGTCGCATTCTGGCAAGCCACAAGTTCAAGGTGCCCTGACCTGAGGCCAGTAAGGGAGCAGTTTCCTCCTGTTAAGTTGGCCTCGCATGCAGGAAGGCAAGAGGTGGGAAGCTGGGGCAAGCCAACCTCTCCTGGCTGTTACCTGTACTTTGGGCCTTGTTTCTTCCCCGTATGGAAGCCTACGGGCACGCTATGTATGCGCATACAGTTGCTGCGACCTCACTTTGCCAGGGACAACACTCCAGGCCGCTGCCTCTTCACCAGATTAGAAATGTCAGCATGGTTTCCTCCCTCCTCCCAAGCCCATCTGTTACCTAACACCCCAAGCGATACCAGGCTCACTGATGCTTCCTCACTATCAAGTTCCAGCTTCCCCTAGCCTCCTGCTACCTGGCCTCAGTAATCCTACTCTGCTTGGATGCTTTTAACTAAAAACAAAACAACACAACACCAAACCCACCACAACCACACATACACTCAACCTCTCCCACTTCTCCTTCCTCCTCTTCCCTTCTCAGCTGTGCAAGCGCACAGGCTGTGTTACTGAACGTGGCTGACCCCATTTCCCTTGCCTGGGAGCATCAGGCCTAAGTGCCATCTGAGCACAGCTTGCTGGACTGCTCTGAGCTGCGTGTTTGTTGCAAGCAAATTGCAAAGCTGTCCGCAAGGTACTCTGCGCCAGCAGAGGACACAGGGCAGTTGGTGTCAGCACCCAAACTATGGCAGCATTAACTCTGGACCCTGCAGCAGATGCCGCTAGCCAAGCCTTGCTGGTTACAACACTAGCCCTGCAGGAACGGGGGTAGAGCGAGGCCTTAGGGTCTACTGTCCTCCTACCCATGTCCCAGGTTTCTGGGGAAGAAACCCACACACGCAGGAACTGCCAGCGCACTCAGGTCAGGCCCCTAAGTGGGACAATGTTGTTAAATAAAGCTGCAGTGACCAGCTCTGGTGGCTCAGCACAGCCCTGGGGTGCTAAAGCCCACCAGTCAGCTGTCGGCCAAGCTTCTCCTCACACTCCAGACGCTGCTTCTGTCTGCTCCCCAGGTGGGGGGGAGGGGGAATGAAGGTCCCAAGGCCAGACCCATCTGTCCTCAGGTCCAATGACTCCTTCCTTACTTGATCCCACTTAACTGGGACCTTTCCCAGCTGGGCTAAGCCAGCAACCTTAACCCTTCCCTCCAGCAGAGGGCTATGCACTGAAGCACACACTCATCTGACCATGTGACAGAGCAACACCTCCATCCACCACCCTGGTCTTTGGGGTACCCCATCTAAAGACTCTGCTTTCCAGAGACAGGATCCTCAAGACTTTTTTTTTTTTAAACTCCAGAACATCCAAAGGCTTTCTCAAACTAACAAAGAAAAGTTTCAATGCAAGACTTTCAGCCTCCAGACTTCATCCTCTCCAGGCTAGAGCACTTATTTGGCTTTTCTTTATTCCCACAGAGAAGAAATACCACAGTCAAGGCTGTGTTAAGAGAGAGGCAGAGAAGGGCACGTCAGGAAAGAAAATACCACCTTCTCTCCTTGACATGGCCAAGCAGAACACAGATCTCAAGGCAAGTACACTAATGCTAAGGCAAAGTCACAAGCCATCCTCATTTTCAGAAACCCTGTGGGGTCAGGAGACAGACTGACTGACAACCTCTTACCACCGTGAGGGAACAAGGCACAAAACCTAAGGAGTCCCAGCAGCAAGGAAACAACGCCCAAAAGGGCAGACTCTCCTGCTGAACAGAGGGAGAGGGAAAAGCTCTTCCACTTGCACGTGGACTGTGATGAGGAGGCTCTGTCCACCAGGACCACATATCCACTCGGCCTTATTCCCTCAGCAGAACTAGGCAGCCACAGAGATACACAGCAAGAAAGGGGAAAGCAAAGCACCAACACATCAGGTCACCAGCCAGCCCCACTGCATTGATTCTGCATGTATTGCAGTCTACCCACAGCATGAACTCACTCAGGTAACACACTCCGGCGTACCTCAGCCTCCCAGGGGGAACTAGAAGTAGCTTATATAGATTTTTGGATGACAAAATTCAGATTTAGACCTCTCAAATAGGGCTGCTAGAAGATGCTTCAGCTGTTCAGGCTGCAAGCAAAACACAGCAGTCAGATATCACAGTATGTAATAGAGAAAGCCCCCCCACCACCTATTTCCAGGTGTATTTGGGACTGCTGCAGAGCTTATGGTCTTCTTTAACCTGCTGCTAAGGGAAGTAAAACAATTGGCAGCACAGGAAAACTGGTAGAGGGAGATTTTTTTTTTCAAAAAAAAAAGGAAAACAACTTGAGCCTCCAGTTTAATCAAAAGTCTGATTTCTACTTGCTCTTCCTCTATCTAGCTCTTAAATCCTTATCCAAGGAGCAGCAACAGTTGCACCTAGCTTTCCCATCCCTTCTCCCTCCCCCATGGCTGAAGAGGCCCAGTTTCTTCTCTACTTCCAGGCCACTTCTCCACTTACCAGAGTGGATGTGGTTTCTAGTAAAGTGAATTCCTCAAGTTCCTGATGAGCTTCCTGCAGCCAGCCAGGCCTCACTGCAAGAGCCAGAAACAGAGCAACAGCAAAGTACAACCAGCTCCTCTGCATAACTCTGTAGCAGGAGGTGCAAAAGCCTGCTCAGCAACAGGAGAGAGGAACCAGCACTAAAATACCACCAGCAGCTGCTGAGCACAAATGGCTATTAGAGGGTTGCAGCTGCTCATCTCTGACTGATTAAAAGAAGAGCCAACACCAGAAAGAAAAGGATGCTGAGGAGAAAAACGCTAAAAGAGAGGTCCTCTTGCAGGAGCAGGAGCATGCAAGCAGCTGCTTTGGTGTGCTCACTCTCGCAGGGTCCAACATGCTCAGCAAATCCATTTTCAAGTTGGTGGAGATGCCTTGATTTACGTCAGGTGAAGGTCTGACCCCAGTAACACAGACCACTAGCCTGACCACCTTGTCAAACACCGGGTGCTTGCAGAGAGCTGTAATCTATGTATGGGATCAGCAAGGGCAGGAGGCCAGGAGCCGTGGGTGACAGCCAGGCAGGCAGGGCCGTGCCCTCACTAATGAGGGTGCAGCCA